GGCTAATGAAATTCAAGAATCATCTCATGTTCCAACACTCCCTGTAACTGATGGGTTAATTGTTTCTCTATAATGGATTCTCATTCATGTTAATGGATTGATGTAATTTATCTATCTTTAGTTCTATTTCTTTTTTATATCATGACTATTAATACTCTTTTCATAAATTAAGTTAGCCATAGTGAAGAATACTTAATAAATTAAAACAAAAACTCTTCTCTTTAAAGAAATTCTGATGATGAAATCATTCTTAATCATGTTTAATAAATTTCTATAAATAAACTGTGTTAGTTTATAAATGGTTATTTTAACAATTGTTTCTCTCTTGGAATTTGTATTTTTTGTTCTTTCTATTCTTTTTTTTCATTTTACTTTACTCTTTCTATTAATGTTTATGAAACAATAACAACCATGTGATACAACTATTAACAATTTAAAAACTAATTATTTATCTATATTTTATTTAAATAGATATGTGTTCCCAAATTAAAAGAATTCTTTTCCATATCTTTTTTTTGTCCTTATTAATTACTGACTCTTCTAAGTCTAATTAATAATAATTACTTTCTATGGAGAAGTAAATAATTAATTCAAAAAAATAACCTTCAGAAATGGCATGTTAAGTAGTTCATTAACTTATTTGAAACAAATATTTAAAATTGTTCCTATGACTTTAAAATTAAAAAACAATCATTTCTTAATTAGAAATCTGTTGAATTGTTAAAATTTCTTCTTTTCTAAACATTCAAATAACATAATTAATTGTTAAATTCTTTATATAGTTGTTAATAAAGAAACCATAAAGAAGTCATAATAAAATTGAGTTAAATTCTTTCATTCAAGAATGGAACACCAGCCTTTTGATCGACTAATTTTAAGTTTTGGACGAATGTAGATTGTGCAATAAATTTATAATCAAATTCAGGATATTTATCTTTATTAATTAAATAACTTCTGTCATCCCATTCAATTTCAAAATGACTTCCAACATAGCCTCCCCAGAATGGTAAGTGTTTGTTGAGGATACAATATGGGAACATGTAATGTCCACAAAATTCTTCACTATCATGAAGTCTAATCAATTGGTCTTCAACTGGGGTAAAGATCATACCAATAATAGAAGTAGGTAATGATGGTAATGTGATAGTATCAAGTTTCTTTCCAGTTGAGTCATATTTAGTAAATGTAGCAATGTAATAATGATTCATAGGACTTTTAGAATCAGCTTTTAATTCAGTTAAATAATAATCATATCCAGTTTCACAAAAATGTTCTTCTGGATTAACACATTGTAATTTATATGCTTGATATAATTCATTAACAATAGTTTTATGAAGTTCTTCATTAATAACACATGCATCATCACAAATATACCAATTCATTGGATCTTGTGCATTTGGACAAACTTTACGTTCTTCTTCAGCAGTTAATTGATTCATAAAATATTTAACACTATGAGATCCTCTTACTCCTCTTGCAGTATTAGCAATAGATGGTCCATAAACAGTATCATTCCATGAATTCTTTAAAATAAATCCACCTTTACATCCTTCATGAGTAACATATTCATCATTATATCCAACTGTAACCATAGCATGTCCACCTTCTGGTTCATTTCATTATGATATTAAATTCACCATCAGTGCTATACATTGGC